TCTTAAAGGTGCCACAGGACCCTCTGTTGCTTTTTACAGATTCAGACTAACACGGCTACCCCTCTGATCCTAGAATGATGTTCGCTTTTTTTTGCAACAGTATTACATTTTGACTCATTTAGCTTGTGGTCCACTACAACCCCCTGATCCCTTTCCACAGTACTCCTTCCTAGGTAGTCATTTCCCATTTTGTATGTGTGCACTGGAGTACTTCGCATTTGTCCTTATTGAATTTCATCCTATTTACTTCAGACCATTTCTCCAGTTTGTCCAGATCATTTTCAATTATAATCCTATCTTCCAAAGCACTTGCAACCCCTCCCAGCTTGGCATTGTCTACAAACTTTGTAAGTGTACTCTCTATGCCATTATCTAAATCATTGATGAAGATATTGAACAGAACTGGACCCAGAACTGATCCCTGCGGGACCCCAATCGTTATGCCCATATATTCCAAAATGACATCTATCTTTTTTGCAACAGTCTCACACTACTGACTTGTATTCCATTTGTGATCTGCTGTAATCCCCAGATCCTTTTCTGCAGTACTGTAGCCTAGCCAGTTTGTTCCCATTTTGTATTTGTACATTTGATTTTCCCTTCCTAAGTGTTGTACTTTGTGTTTGCTTGAATAGAATTCCTCTTATTGCTTTAATATAATTTTCTCTTTAAATTCTCCAATTTATCATGATCATTTTGATTTCTATTCTAAAACAATGCTCTTCATGCACACTCAGCCCCATGGCGCAGACACCTGACAGTTATACTTGGCTTGAAGCACAATGTGGCTGACATACCATCTTGTGATTGGCAAAGAGTGTGGTATTTTCCATGTTTTACTGAAGTATTATTAGTATTGTACGCTACATTAACCAGACAATTGGCAGCCAAGCTTCCTTACGGATTCCCAGAAACCCTATCTGTTCTTACTCACATCTCAGTGGCAGTCAAGAGTCTTTCATCTGTTTTACGACAGCAGAAGAAATATTAAGAATAACAATAGTCTCACCTGACAGTTGCATTCCTTCAAACGCTGTTCAATATCATTTCAATCAAACAGAAAGTATAGCTGGTTTGCTACAGTGGGCAGTTCTGGCCATCAGTCATAAAAGACTTTGTTAAGATCTTTCTCTTTGAGGAAGATAGATGATGATGCAGGATACTAATGGATTGTCTCTGTAAAGAGGTCAATAAGTTTTCTTAAGAATATATGTAAAGTTTCTAAGAAGGATGAACATTATAATCAGATATGTACTAACTATAAAAGATCTGGGCAAGAAAACATCACACAAACATCCAAAGACTTCCTTAGACTATTGGAAAATGTCTCTTATTATGGCTATTTATTGGAAAATGTTTTTCTGAATCCCTTATCAACCAAGAATGATCTACTGAGGGATTTAACTGAGGAGAGAGCCTGACCTTTGCATTACACAGGGATGGGCACTTAAACTTGTTAACTACAGAAGAGTTCTCCATTTTGAAAGAGGAGGAGGAGAAAGAAGCACAAGGGCGTTGTGTGTCCATCCATAGCATGTCTGTGTTTTGTCTCTGAGAAAGAGATGCTGAAATATTTAAAGTGGTTTCTCTAACTTTAGTAAGTCTCTGCCTTAGTTTTCTGTATTATACTGAATTAGTGTAATTGCATATGGACAAAATATTGTCTATACATGTTTTCCTTTGCACCATTTTATTGGAAGGGAATAGTACACTTGCATTATAGTGTAGCATTTACAAGTCTTTACATGATTCAAATGAAATCCTAGCCATCCTATAAGTCTGAAGGATAGCAATATGTAAATAAAGTCCAGAATCAACCAACCAAGATGTCCAGAGCTTCAACTATCCCTAGCTATTATCAGGGAGAAGTAGGGTGAATTTGATTTAAATCAAATTGATCTAAATCACTAGTCAGGAAGACTGGGTTTAATCATGGATTTCTACATAAAAGTACATTCTTGGTGGTGGTTATAACCTTAATACACGTTCTTCACAACTCAGAGGTAGATGTAGGTTTCATTTTTAGAAGGTACACACTATACATTTTTAAAAAGTGATTTATTTTGAAAACTTTTCAGAATAGTTTTACAGCTATATCAGAAAATGAATGATTGATTATTTTGTTTACCAAAGGTAACTGAAGCAGATACTTATGAAGTCATTGGGAGGTGAACTATCTCCAATTCAGCTGGTTAATCGCTAATATTTGGAGGATTTTCTTGCCATGATGTATTAGGAGGAGAACATCACTGTTAGGCTTGGTCTACACTAAACCCCCAAATCGAAGTAAGGTACGCAACTTCAGCTACGTGAATAAC